AATTTTGTTTCTGTTTTTATGTATATAACAGGAAACTTCCAATATATATATATATATATATGCAGAAAAGTGGGGGTATATTGCATCATTTCTGAAAATTGCTACACCGCATAAACTGAAATATTGTTGCTTCAGATGATTCAATTCAAATTTGTTTTCTAAATATTGAATGAAGGAAAATCCGAATACTCACTGGGAAACTTGTAGAACGGAACCGCCATACATGCGACGCTGTGTATCGTCCTAACTGCTGATGCGTCCTGCTGTCCAGAGGAACACGAACACATCGAGCTGAAACCGCAACTGTTTGATGTCAGCCCGCTACATCGGAGGGACAGGACAATTAGGATGCTCCATATCGGAAGCATTGTATCTGGAACGAAAGATGGACTTTGTATAGGAAACTGTTTGTTCGGTTCCGGCAGGATAGCTGAGCAAATCTTCCGTATTGAAAATTATACCCTGTGTCCAAGATATGAATGAACAGCATGGGGATATATGAAACGAGGTCGATTGAATTAGAGGGAAGTAACGCATTTATGTACCTGATAATATGCCATTCAGAAAGTTTCAATATTCCGAGTAGTTTCAGAGATATCCGAGAAAAACCGAAATTTGAGAATTTCGTTTTTATTCTCTCCTGGCTTTATTTCCAAAGTGAATGTAAAAAAAATAGCAGTCTTTCGTGGCCGATAAGGTAGGCAGAATTTTTCTGCGGTGATTCGTCTTTTAGAAAACATCATCAACTTTGTATTTTTATATGGGCCGAAACTGAAGTATTCCCTGTATACGACTCAATTTTCATTGTGAATACAGCAACGTATCACACCTGATTTCATAATAATTTCTCGCGCAAAATGATTACCTAACCTGATTTTCTTCAATTTTAGATAGTACGTGCTGGAAAAAATGTCATATTTTGATACATGAAGAAGTAAATTGATTAGTCTTATACATAATAAATTCTAACTTACCACTTGCCGGAATTTTCGCGTTGTTGAATACAAAGATGAGTCGCAATATCAAAACTGTAGTTTATAAAATGTAATTGTAATACATTAATAATATACAGGGCTATTCAAATTCGTTTCTGTACATGGGGATCTCGTAAACGATAAGAGATAGAGCATCGGTTAAATTATGGCAAAGTTGTGTATTTTCGAGACCTATTCAATGATGTGAAGAAATCGAATATAGCTTTTTGGGTTCTGGAGATATACAGGAAAAACCAACAAAACACATTTTGCTATTGGCACTTGATGTGGGCTCTCAGAATATATCTATGAATCTTTTATACAAGTCATCTGACTTGGGCCACCCCCATCTTCGAATTTTTAAATACGGATCTGTATTTTTTGTTGTAGTTTTTGGATCATAGACGCTCACTTCATACTGAGAAATTGAATTCAATTTTATATTTCTGGATTTTTCGGTAATATTCTATCATAATTGTGTGAATTATTCCCTTTTAAATTACGGCCCTGGAAATTGGTTGACTGAGTTGAATAAAAATATAATAGCAACTTTCACGTCTCCCTATGTATCGTAGAGGTTTTTGAGAGTTTTTTTTTTCGATTGCTCTGAGCATTTTCTACAATGAACTCGAATAAGAAAACCTTTTATGGTTATTTGAAGCATATCTACATCAAAAATATATTATATATGTTTTAATAATCAGAAAAAGAAATGATAGGAATAATAACATCCGAAACGAACGCTATAATCGTAATGAAAATTGAAAAGAAGTAATTTATATAGGTACCCAAAAAAATTATTGGCGCAATAAATGTTCGAATTGGAGTCCTTCCATTTCGAGACATTTTTGAACTCAGTTTTTCATATTATTTATTGCCCTTAATACACTTATTTGCTGTATTGTTGCGAAATCATTCAAAATCCCCAATCTCGAGTCTTCCACATTTTCTATCTCTCTGCCAGCGTAAATCCTATTTTTCAATGTCCCCCATAGAATCTAGTCCAAAATAGTGAGATCTGGTGATCTTGCAGACCATCTTATTGTCCCATTATTTGTCTCGAAATGGAAGGACTTCAATTCGAACATTTATTGCACAATTAGTTTTTTGTGTGTATAAATTAATTACTTCATTTTAATTTTCATTATAATTATCGTGTTCGTTTCGGATGTTATTATTGCTACCATTTTTTTTCTGCTCATCAAAACACATATAATATATTTTTGTTGTAGATATGTTTCAGATAATCATAAAAGGTATTCTTATTCGAAGTTCATTGTAGAAAACGCACAGAGCAATGGAAAAAATATGAATAGGTATCTGAAAATGAAAAAAAAACTCTACGGTACATAGGGAGACGTGAAAGTCGCTATTATGTTTTTATTCAACTCAGTCAACCAATATCCAGGGTCGTAATTTAAAAGGGAATAATTCACACAATTATAATCGAATATTAACAAAAAATCCAGAAATATAAAATTGAATTTAAATTCTCATTATGAAGTGAACGTCTACGATCCAAAAACTACAACAAAATACAGGTCCGTATTTAAAAATTCAAAGATGGGGGTGGCCCAAGTCAGATGACACCCTGTATAAAAGATTCAAGGATACATTCTGAGAGCCCACATTAAGTGCCAATAGCAAAATGTTGACAGATTTTCAATATGTCTGCGAATAAAGAAGATATAGGCAAAAAAATAATTTGAGATTTTCCTGTATATCTCCAGAATCAAAAGAGCTATATTCGATTTCTTTACATCATTGAATAGGTTTCCAAAACACGCAACTTTGCCATGATTTAACTGATACTCTATCTCTTATTGTTTACGAGATCCCCATGTACAGAAACGAATTTGAATAGTCCCGTATTTATTGATTTCTTTAGGACATCCTAATATACATACATTATTTTAAAAATATATAAATAAATGACATAAATAACAAAAATGATGATATGATAGAGAGAAAAAAAAAATAATAAAAACCATTTTTCAATGATTCCAGAATGGTTTCAACATGAGGATATACATAATAAATATATTACCAAACAGAAAAAAGAAAATCAAGGATGATATTTTATATAATTCATGAGTTTTTTTTCAATGGGAAAACATTTATTGAATCTTTCAACGAAAGGGAGTTTGTTATACTCATTCAAACCTTCACGGAATAAAGACTTCATCGTACTTGATAAATTAGTTCGAAGAAGGTGGAATTTTTGGAAGCTACTCGCTCTTGTTGAGTGGTTATGGATTTGAGATTTATATATACAGAATTCTTCAAAATGAGTTGGAAGCAAGTTATGTGTTAGTTTGAAAATGAATATCATCGCTAACTCGTACAGTCTCTGGGAAACAGACATCCACTGCAATGTACTTAACATGTTTGATATACTGGAATACCTATTCACTTGTGAAATAACCCTCATTTCACGATTCTTTAACTTTTGTAATGCCGATACCTTATTTTGGTTAAATGAGTATAAAAGACTAGCACGATAATCAAAATAGGGTTGGATTATACAAACAATCATATAATGTTATTTTTGAGTACATCGAAAGCTGAGATGAAATTCTTGAGAAAAAATATATTT